AACCCAAATTGATGTTTAGTTTGGGATGCGAGTTCAATGCAGATCGAAAGAGGCCGTAGACTACATGGTAGCTGCATGCAGCTGCCATGCCGCGGGATTGACCGGTTTACTGAAAACAGGTTTGGACTTTGATGTGGTTGTCATGTCATGTCCTTTTGGCCAACAGGTTTTTCAACCAAGCAAACTGGCCATAGTTCACCTCTGTTCACCTTTCATAGTGATGAGGGCGATTTGGTAGATGATGTCTAGCCATTCCTCATGCATTTGATGTTTAGACGTAGGTCAGTTCAATCCATATCTTAAAGCCGCACCAACAACCAACAGCATAGAATACTGAGTGATGTTTCCTTCTTGTTGGGAGACTCCTTGGTGATTACCAAGAACAATGACACTTCTTTTTATTGATCTCCACCGTTGAAACACATGTTTTCTGTGTGTACTGCTTCTACCCTGCTTCACTGGAAACTGAGGCGGCCGCTGGGGAGCCGACCCTCTTCTCAGGTGTCGGTTTGAAAGAGGGTTGCCAGATCAGGAGTGGAAAGAAGCAGCATCGAAATTCGGGCAGCATCTATATAATCCCCTCTTTGAGGTATAAACTATTGAGAACCGCAGGGACAACAACCCTGCTCCAGTGTTTGAACTGTCTATCCAACATTCCGTGAACCTTGGTATTTGTGGGTGTGGATCCGGATTTGGTCAATCCACCGAAGATATATCCACGAACTCTTTGTCATGAGTAGAGTCCAGTAGAGCCTACCTGATTCTCAGTTCTAATCACCCTGTTCTTGGTTTGCCAGAGTCATTGGCACAGTTGGACCCAGGACAACTGGATAGAGTCGAGTGTTTGTTCAGGCTTCATCGAGGTGCATTCCTAGTGCTGGGCTATGTGCTGACAATATGTTTTGTATTGTTTTGGTGGAGTTTCTTTTGAGCAAACATCATTTAATACTTGTACTTCCAAGGCGAGCAGGCAAGATGAAACACAGAGGTGTTTGTTTCGAAGCGTTGTCAATATTTGTCAGTCAGCCTCGGTCGACCTCAAAAGCTTGCAGGAACAGCTGTCACTGTAAGGGTCCCGCAACAGCCATGTCCGTGGTCGAATTGGCTTTGTCCTTTCCGGGTCCGAGCTTGCACAAATGCAGTTTTTGAGAAGCCAGTCCAATGCCAAACCCTCATCATCCACCGTGCATGAATGGCTCAATCACAAGTGAGTGGAGTGGGACTAGCAACTTGAAGTCCAACGTGTTCTTTGGCAACGGCAGTAGCAAGAACTAATGTCAACGACTGTCCAGAAACTATTGTCAAGAACTATATACTGGGAGTAGCAACTTGAAAGCCACTCCAGGTCCACTCTCTTTGGGTATGAACTTCCCGGGCCCCTGCCTGCTAGTCGCTGCTATTCGTGTCCACCTCCACAGGTGGGCATGCACAGGCGGATGTGCCCGGACCGGCAGGGCGAGTCTCGAGAGGTACAAGTTACTAGTAGCAAGAATGCTCCTAGTAGTATGGCCAGGAGCCCCTAGTAGCGTCCTTGCTCCTAGTTGCATGCGGTTTCTGAACGTTCAGTTTGTGTGACAAAATAGGTTTCAGCTTTGAACACAAGCGGCTTTGTGATGTGTTACTGCCAGTGCTTTCCACTGGCCTGCAAAACTGCAAACTGCTTTTTGCACTTTGCTTTCTCTACATCTTTCGGTGTGTGAAGGTGGGGCGTTCAGAACTGAAGCCCGGAACAAACCTGCAGATTTTGAAGGACTGAAACCCCTCTTTCGCTCCACAAAAGCCGCACATGCTTTACCTCGAAAGGCAGAAGAGATGATCCCGCCCTGGCAGGCTTCAGGCGGATTGGCCGGGTTTCCGAGCGCGTCGAACTTCATGCAGACGGTCCACATGGAGCAAGACCTCATGTGTTAGTTGTTGTCAGGAAGATAGTTCTGATCCTGCGATCGATTTTTTGCACAGCATGGTTGGAGGAGGCAAACAGTCCTAGTTTCATAGGTTAAAATGTAGAAGGCTCTACAACAACTAGCAGTTAGCAATCAGTTCACAACCCCCAATATTTGCAGTGTTTGTTGAATTGGCTTGGACAACCACTACACTGGCCATATTAGGTGCAGGGTGCCCGAGGACCAGTTACGGCGTCGGTGCCAGGGCTCCACTCTTCGGCAATGGGCCCCGGCTCTTCGGCGCCCGAGTCGCCCTCCGAGATGCCAGCAAGGAGTCCAAGTGAAGCGACAGAAGCGGCTGGACGTGAAGTTCACATGAAGGGTTTTGGCAGAAACATGTTTGGCGATGTTTATATACATAATTATAGTAGTAATTAGTCACGTTTCCTGTGAATCCAAGGGACAAACATGGACAAAAGCAAATTGACTGGATTCGTGTCAACAGAGCCACAAGCGTCAGATAGCCTCAGCATATATTGAGTAGTTGACGTTGACAATACATGTCAGGTTCCTGGGATAATCTGGTATACTACTGTATATACACACAACTACAATCAACTACCATCTTGATATGTCAGTCCCTACCACCCGCCAATCCACATTCACTTGCTTTGTGTGACGGGTATCTCCTACCCACCCAACACCCAAGTCGACATACTCAGCGTTCTCCACTTTCCCTCATTCCGCGCGCATTCGAGGTGCCCACAGAGATGCCCACCAGCCCAGTGATGGACATTGGAGAGGCGGGGAGTGGCGAAGAAGGCCGCAGGATTGGGAGAGAGATGAGCGAGAATCTCCATGGATCTCCCTTCACACAAAGATACCTATCCGTTTGATGAGGATGTGTTTTGCAGAAGCTGGCAGCAGTTGGCAGCTTTGTAACCCTGTCAAGGATAATTCCACAAATCTCCAGGGTTGCAATACAAATTAGGGTTGCCATTGGCTTGAGCAGCTCCTCCCAAAGGCACCTGGGGGATTGGGTTGTATCTCACGCGCTTATGCACCCTGAGAAGTACTTGAAGACTCAGATTGATCAACATCATCCATTGTATTTTTGGTCTGGGCCCCTTCATGTCAGAGCTGAATACACAGAATGCTTCCATAGTCTTGCCGGATTGTTTTCCCATCCCAATTCTTTCTCAGCGCCGATAGGCACCACTACCTGTGCCAATTGCGCCCTTGTCTGAAGGCGGGCTTTGAATTTTGATTGTCCGAGCTCAGGGCTGCAATCATCCACGATGGTCATAGCGTTGTGGTCCCAATACCTGTGAATAGACTACAGCCAATCTGAGTCTATAGTGGATTTGCAAGGATAGGGGGTCATGCCTATAGAGCAATTGTGGGAATCCATCATTCAGGTTGCAGGAGAAATACATGTTCATGTAGTGGTTGGAGGATTGGAAAGGGACGCTGGAGATGGGTTGGCAGCTAAGCAATGTGTAGCGTGGCCACATGATCAACGTTTGCACATGCTTGGATCGTTTGGTGATTGGGTGAAGGTAACGGGTAACGTTTCCACAAAGGGCCCCTCTCAAAATGCCCATCTGTCGACATTACGCATGGCAGAGAGATGGAAGAGATCCTTGTTTGCACAGCCTTCGCAAAAAAAACACCAGGCGAAGAAGAGGCAACGGTGCAAGAGGCAGCTGTTGGCGGCTGTTGACGTTTGTTCGGCGAGGGACAGCCACTACGGCTCGGCAGATTTGCCTGTTGTTTTGATCCTCAGTGGGGCAAAAGACACATCCAAGGTTCTGGTCTTCGTCACTCCAACCCAACTGACACATCCGTGGAGTGCTCATTTGTGACCAGTTCTGGGTCTCTAACTTGAAGCGTCGACAAGGTGCAACGAACAGGGCGAGTCAGCGAGCATGGATGGAGGGAGGTTTGAACATGTGGATCAACGGATGGAGACTTTCCACTTTTTTTTTGGTTGAAGTGTTAAATGGTGAGACGACAAACCCCTACGCATCCCCCAAAAGGAATGGAAAGGACTCCTTCTTGCCAGAATTTTCCAAACACGAGAAGCGAGACGAAGGCTCATTTGCAGGTGGGCTTATTTGTTGCACTCGTTGACTTGGGAATGCACGCCTTGAAGCTGCACTCAGATAGACCCGACAGCGGTTCATGTCAGTTCACAGGCTTACATGGGACCTTCATGGAACCCTTTTATCCTCCGTCAATGCAGGCCGAGGTGCCAATGCCGTTGAGGTCCGCAGGCGTGCCACTTTTCGCACGGTTTCGACCGACGCACGAGCTGTGTGGCGTAGACTCGACCAGCGTCGACCGGGGGCTTTGAATATTGGTTTGTTGATTTCAATATATATATATATTTCAAGTCACCTCCACTGATCCTCGCTCCAGAAAGCGGCATCGCCTAGAATGTCCTCTAACACTGAGTGAACTGGGAAACTATAACTGTGCTGTGTACACCTGAAGTGGAGGGAGTTCCTCAAGCACGCTATAGTTTTTTGGCATGCACCAGAATACCAGGACAGGAAACTATTGAGATCAAAAACAGTTCACCTTCTTGCAGACATTGTCCGAAGAAGATTTGTGCTATTGTCCTTCTCGGAAAACAGGGCGGGTGTTGACCTGGTTTCTTTTCTACGATCCATGTCACAGACACTCAAAGAAACTATTGAATATTTGCTGTGCTATTACCGGAAGTGGTTTGTATCAAGTATGTTTTTGCTCTTGATCCTTGGGCTATCCGGCTGTCCATTCCATTTACTGGATTGGCTTTATTCTTCCTCCCGAGGCCTTCCATCTTCAGCCTTGGTCTCGTCCTCGATTGGATCACCCTCAGAAATGCCCGTGGCTTGGCTTCTGTGCTTCGTCGGTGCGCTGCGGCAGGGCTTCTCCATTTGGAGTTAAACCTTGGGAGGTATAGCTACGGGGGGACCCCGAGGGTGGGATACAAAATTGAGCTTAGTGAACAACTGGAAATGATTGCAACCTGCTCAGAGGGTACGTGATGTATGTGGATTTGTGTGAAGGGTGCAGTGTTTAGTGCGTAGCAGCAGCATCCAGGGCATCCAGACATCTGGTTTGTCTTTTTGTTGTTTGTGCAAACCGCTGCGATGTTTTTGGGTGCCAAGTGCACCATTTTAAACTTGAAACACTGGATTTTGTGAAGGATCATTAACAATATGTTTCCTTGCATCATTCAATAGAAAATGCATGAACATATATGCATTATCATTGACCGCTTGAGAACATTCACGGACCCCGTGCACGGCAAAGCGATGCAGCTCGAGCCCTCATAGAACAATGCCATGTGTATATATATATATATATTTACATAATCATGTATTTATAACATTGACAAATGTTAAATAAATAGATAAATATGTTAATTAATTTATATACATTTTCAAAAGGCCGCACTGCTCGCAGATCCTTGCAATGTCTGACCTCGGTGGTGTCCTGTCCCTCGTTCTCACGGTCGTCCGTTTCGGGCCCCAGCACTGACACCGCCGGCCAGGTGCCCACCGAGCTTCCCACCAGTCCGGTTTCGGAGACCGACGAGGTCGAGACGGCTCGGGGTCCCCGGTGTCCGCAGCCGGGCGGAGGGTGTGAAGTATTATTGAAACATGCATGCAGGTTTGATCTTGTGAGGGTGAGGTTTGATCTTGGCAAGTGTTTCGTTCTGAAGGACACTTCTCGAGGTATCAATCAATTCAATCTCCAACAAAAAGGATTCTTCAGCAGACTCCACATGAACATATCCTATAGAATTCCACCATTCCACTGTGCAATCACCGAAGTCACCTGATGTCGTTCAAGCCCTTGGGATGAATTTCGATCTGTAGGCCAAATATATATGTACACATAATATACTGGTACCGTATATATATATATATGTTTGCTGTTTTGCTGTCAACTTCTTGTTCCAATTTAGCTAGGAGTTGTTTTTTAGACCACATGCATCCTGAAACGAGTGCTTGTCATTGAAGTGGTCGTTCATGGCAAACTCCGTGGATGTGCTTACCTCTCTCTCTGTGAGTATTTGCATTGTCCATCATTCCACAGCTGCACAGAAAAATGCACTGAAGAGACTTCCTAATAGGTTGGAGGCCATCAATAGTAGGTATAGGTTGGAGGCCATTGCACTGGGATGAATTCCTCCGTCAGTTGGTCCAAAAGCTTGAGTGAAAGCGGGTCGATCGAGCACCGGAGCGGGCGGAGCGCCGAGGTGCAAGAGCCCACGATTTTCTCAGGCGGCTCGGTGTTATCTACGCAGTTAGGTGACGGTGTATAAATACCATCATATGGCTATAGTTTATTGATGTTTGAAGGTATTAAGGTAGAACAACTCGTGGGCTTTAAGGATTCTGCAGGGGGACGACGGGGACAAAGTGTAAGTTTGCAGTAGAATTTGGGTAGCCAAGATTCATCTATTGAGGTTAGCAAGAAAGGATTAATGGACATGAAGGCACAACTGGGTGCTTAGTGTGCTGTTGGTGTGATGATGATGGCGCTAGATGCTGCGCTGACTTGTTTGGAGGTTTCACGACGAACCCACCATTGAGCACACAGAGGAACATAAACAACACGCCCAAAAAACTACGAGTTCAGCTTGGTTAATCACAATGTTGGCAAGTGCGCAGGGTTCATGAGAAATGGGTGGCCGTCAATTAGGTACCGAAGAGCGGGATTACATCGAAAGTAGAAGGATAGCACAACCTTCAATTCCAGCATTGCTATTAGGTTGGAGGCCATCGTTAGTAGGTTGGAGGCCATTGCTATTATAAAGGTTGGACTATACCGCACTACACCTTCTCGCTTCCTGATGGTGTATTCTTGGTCATTTTGCAGCGTGTGACCTATTTTTAATATGAATAAGTGAGTGTCATCCCCCAAGTTTTGCTCCAAAGCTGCATTGGCGGCCAGGGGTCGTTTTACTAGTTTCTACTGGGGGGTGTCACACGGGCAACTGGATACGCGTGTCTTGGTGCCATCTACTCTGAACCCTTGAACCCTACTTGCTCATGGCAAAGTTTGGCCTAGTGTTCAGGTTGCACGCTTGGGGCTTGTCTTCGGCCGCCACGGTCAATCAGACCGGTATGGTTTTTCGGACAACGGCCACTTACTGGGAGCATAGAACGAAGAGTTCAACTACAGAACTGTTCAGATCCTGGGTTTCGAAAATAAGTGGGTGAAATGTGGAGTTTCCGCGGGACACATCATGTCATCGTGGATGGATGGCACTTCCAACTTCGAAAGGGGTAGCTCGCATACCCGGCCAGGGGAGCCCACGAGACAGGCGGATGTTCGGGTGTGTGTGATGGGCGGTTTGCGACGTCTGTGTGATTTTGAAGCGAGAGGTGTCCAAAACTCCGAGACATTGGGAGTATTTTCATGGGGATCTCATTTCTCATGGATTCATTTCAACTATGCAACACATGTTCGAACAATGATTTTCATAGTGATCTCATTGGGATTTTTTGTACAGTATAGTACATCAAGACTAGGAATCTATGGTAGTTTCGTTTTTGCCTGGCGGTATCAAGAACAATCTCGCAGGTATGTCTGGGAGACCCTTGCGTTCTGTTAAGATTGACCCTGACTTGAAAGCCCTGATCTGGACTTTGGGATGCTGGAGTCCGACGAACGCACACGTGCGACCGCCAGTTGGATGAGATTCCGTTCAAATCAGCAGGCCTCGTTTCGATCGGGGTGGGACTGCGGCTGGCGACACAAGCGTTCAATTTGCTAGTCACCGGTTGACACAGACGTGCGCAGTTAGAGATAGACCTAGAAATATGTTTGAACCGACAATTCTGGAAATCAATGGTAGAGTGAGGAAAATCTAACCCAATTAAATACATGCAATATTTGTATGTTGTCTTATCCGGTGGTTGAGATCATGAAAATTCATGAACTACGATTTGGGCAGGTCGCCATATTATATATATATATCCAGTTTAGTGTTTAGTTGTTTTAGTTGTTTTTGCCACACCAGTTTAGTTGTTTTTCAAGTGCTTCAATCTGGTTCGAGCACATCATGTTGCAAGTTGTTCATGATATCGTTTGTCAACCCCAGGTTTGCTGAGGACTGTCCTGAGGGTATACACAATCATGTTGAATCTCAACAACTGCTTTTGCTTTTCCACCTCACCGAAGACAAAGACTGTGACTCCCATTTTGACGACCCCTCCATGCTCACAGCGACAACACGGCCTGCGGCGCACAAGCCCGGCGGTGCCAGGTCTTCACTCCTCGGCCATGGGCCCGAGCTCCTCGCAGCTGGAGTCGCCGTCGGAGATGCCGGTGCGGTCGTCGGGAGCTGGAGTGGGCAGATGCCTGGGCTGATAGTTGCGGTTTGGCTGGGTGGAAGTAGCCGCAGCCAAAGAACAGTTCCACACAAAGAAGGGTGGAAGATCCCTTCCATGTGCAAGACATGTGAAAGACTGCTTCCAGCCAACCTCGCTTGTGAAGGCTGAGAGGGTGGGGTGAGTTGGTCCAGCAGTGGATTCATCTAATGTTCCGTGAAGGCTTTTTGGAAGCAAAGAAAATGGTTAGAATGGGAGAGCAGAGGAACTATAGGGAGTTCGCCTACCAATGACTAGATGGCACACCAATAAAGGTGGCTAGAAAAATTGGCATGAATAATGTATCCCGGCTTTTTGGCACTGTTTGTTTGTTTGTTTGTTTGTCTCTTTGTGTGTTTGTCTGTTCGTTTGTTTCTGGACTCATGTCAAGAGGTGTGTGTGCTTGAACTTCAAGTCATGCGATTGATATCAAACCAACAGATGGAATCTCCTTTTAGGCCAGACTGGCCACACGTCCCACCTTGGAGGTACCTACTGAGATGCCCACAAGTCCCATGTCGGACAGGGAGGCCAGCCAGACCGGATTGCGCTTTTTCAGGGCACCTTTGGTGATGACAGGTAGATTAGATTCATGACCCATCCATGGGGTAAGAGTCCATTTTTGGTACATAGCTTTATGGAATGGGTGGGTGAATCGAAAGATGGGCGTGCAACAATCCCCATGAAGCCCTTGACCTGTGTTAGCAGCACTAAGACTTTGTGTTGGGTTCCGGATCGGAGTGAGTGGGGCCTATGAAAATTTGTTAAATATGCTGAATAATGTGAAATATATGGCAGAACATTTGTTTGGTTCGTTCTTAATGAGGGGACCCCACGGAAATCTCTCCTGGCAATACATGGGAGTTGATCTAAAGGGGCGTGTAAGGGGCCTTATATAATACGACCTTTTAGATGCTGTCCAAACCATCCGCGAAAGATCCGCGATCAGGTTCGCGAGAGTATGTTTTCCCATGTTATTTGGATTGTTGAAGGCCCTTCATTATGTTCATATTCTTTGTCACTTCCACCGACATGGTAGAAATACAAGGCAATCCTCCGGCACAGCCGGTGAGTGGAAGTGTCCCCACATGTCCCCACTGTCGCTGACTAACGAACTGAAGCCTCAACGTTTTCTTTCGCACCATAGGAATGTATTTCGAGGACAGAGCCGGCTTGTTGTTTTTGTATAATGACTGTTTTGTCTTGACCTCCATTCGTTTGCGCTACGAGATTGTATCATAACCATCATAACCCCCCCCAGTATGCAGAAGCAGATTAGTAGGAGCAGGGCCAAAAGTCGCCGCGGTGAGCAGAAGACCAACAGAACACGGTAATGGGAAAATGAGCGACAACAATCGATGACATCACATTATATAATTGTTTACTATTAATAGATGAAGAGCATTGGTGAAGCACCAACAGGGGCGCAACTTCCTGAACCTTCTCGGCTGGACGGGGAAGAAGAGTGCTGCCTGCCTACAGATAATGTCGCGATCTTTGAGTCAAGCATGTCACGTTTGAGGCCCGGTATGGCCTGGGGGTATCACTACTGCTGCTCGTGCTAAGTCTACTATATTCTACTACCACTACCATATACTACCATCACAACTACCACCACTCCATGCTGTATTTGCATACTGCATACTGCATACTGCATACTACCTACTACCTACTACCTACTACCTACTACCTACTACCTACTACTACTACTACTACTACTACGACTACGACTACGACTACGACTACGACTACGACTACGACTACGACTACGACTACGACT